CCATGACCAGGCCAATGCGGCGCTCCGCAACTCCATTCTGCTGTGGAGAGGCCGGAAGCGTGAACGACTGCTCAATGCCGTGCTCAGCACAGTAGGCTGCCAAGAGGTCGGAGGAGAACTCACCACCTCTGTCAGAGTGCAAGCGCAGGACAGGAAAGTCCGAGCGGAATCGCTCGCTGAGCTGGAGACGAGCTCTGCGGATCCAAGGGATCAAAACATCAGGGACCTCACCCTTGGTGCGCAAGGGGAAGACCATGGTGTAGCGCGAGTAGTCGTCAACAACGATCACGAAGTACCTCTCCTGACCCTGACCACGGACGCGGGCTGGGCCCCACACGTCCATATGGAGCGTCTGCAAAGGAGCAGTCGTCGAGGGAAACGAGGAGGAGTGAGAAGCGGCGCGCTGCTGCCCCTCGACACAGGGAGGAGCAGGCGAGGGTGGGAGGGGAGGGAGGACTCTGGGAAGACCAGAGACAAGGTACCGGGAGTGCATGGCACGAAGGCGCTGCACAGACGGGTGGCCCAGTTGGTGGTGCCAGAGGACAGTCTCGTGCGCTAGAGAGCGACACGAGCAGGGGGCGGACAGCTGACCTGACGCGGAAGCAGACGCAGACGCAGCGACTTGAGGGGGGGCAGTAGTCAGTGTGTACAGATCCGACCCCAGCTGCCGGGTGAAGGTAGCCAAGTGGCGGCCTGTACGGGCACACGTGCAGTGTGTGACACGCTCGTAGGCAGGGGTGAACTGGTGAACACCCGCGTCCTGTAGTGCACAACCTGCCACCAAGTTCGTAGAGAACGAGGGGAGGTGGAGACCTGACAGTGTGCCCGACGGGACCGCAGGACAGGGAAGGACAGTGGAGGAGGTCGCAAGGACCGGACCTCCAGAGGGGTCAGCGAGGGAGACAGCAACTGGCCGAGCAAGGGGCTCAAGGGCAGTGCGGTCACGAAAGAAACAGCGAGAGGCACCTGAATCCAGTGTGAAGGTGTGCAGTGCTGCAGACGACACAGTACTAGGGGAGGCAGACGTACACGCACCTAGAGCAGCAGCCTCACCAGCACCTGGGGTAGCGGACACGCGAGTACCTGGAGCGGCAGACGCACTGGTCCTAATGCCCGGGTCGGGCGGGACACTCAGGTACTCAGAACCCTCTCCACTAGTAGACATCACATACATGGCAGTGAGAATAGCATCAAAGTCTAGAGCATAAATATCAATCCCCTTCTTCAGGAGATCAACCCAGCGGGGCAGCTCAGTGGCCTGAGGGAACTGAACACGCCAAGCGTCTTTCAGACGAGCAAAGCAACGCTGTGTGGCGTGCGGTCCCCCACACGGCTGGCCAGTGCGGTCACCAGTGCGAATGACGTACGTGCAGCTAAGGCCACCCCCCCCCCCCCCCCGTGCTGAGAGTACCACTCACGGACCTCCTGGGGCGACGGAGTGTGATGCTGGCCCTGGCCACCGCCAGTGCCTCCACGACCACCACCGCCGCTACCACCTCCTCGACCACCCCAACCCCGGCCGCTGCCTCGTCCACTGCCACCCCCACCACCTCCTCCGCCCCGGCCACCTCCCCCGCCGCTGCCGCCACCCCCCCCACTGCTGCCACCTCCCCCACCCGCGCCACCCCCCCCGCCACCACCACCTCCCCCACCACCGCCACCCCCGTTGTCACCACCACCGCCCTTGCCCCCCTTGCCCTTGCCGCTGCGGCGCCCACTCGAAGCAGACGCAGTCCCGACCTTCTCAGCACCAAGGAGGTCGACAGCAGCAGCAGAGGCGACAGAGGGAAGAAAGGGGGAGGGAGAACACCCCTTAAAGAACGGGGTACGGGGGTCACCGCGAGAGGCACCTACAGCGACTATGCTAGCCTCAGCTGCAAGCAGTTCCTTCTCGAGGAGGGCAATGGTGAGCTCGGTGGGGCAGCGAGCTAGGAAGTGGTCCCTGACTGAGCGCAGAGTGTCAGGGAGGCGCGTGACTAGGTGGTAGAGAGTGAGCCAGAGCGGGGGTGGGTTCTTGGCAAGGAACTCATCAGGCATAGCGGCGCGGAAGCGAGCCTCACTAGTGCGGAGGTGGGTAATGAGATCAGCGACAGTGTGGAAGGAAGCTAAGTCGGGGAACAGGTAGGGAAGAGAGAGACGGCCTAGAGCGGCAGAGGCCGGTGAGGAGTAGCGGGCAACGACAGCAGTGTACAGTGCCTGTGCAGTCTTGTGCTGCCCAAAGTGCTCGCGCTCATCTATCGGCAAAGAGTTGCGAATAGCGAAGCGAGTATGGGCGTCACGAGTCTGCCACTGTGAGCGGGCAGTGCTGTCAGCAGTAGCAGCAGGAGCAGTAGCGTGGCCTAAGGCATGATCGTACAGCGAGATGTCTTCCTTGGCAGTGAGCTGTAGGAAGAGGTGTAGGTCATCAAGCCAGGTGTCGAACTTCACTGGGCGGCCCTCAGCATCGAAGGCTAGCACAGGAGGGCTAGCCATGGTAGCAGCAGTAGGAAAAAACAGTAGGAGCAGTAGGGTAGGTAGGGCGGCGCGGCTCGGTACAGGTAGGGCGGCGCGGCTCGGTATAGGTAGGGCGGAGCGGCTCGGGTCGGGCGGCGCGGCTCGGTTCGGGCGGCTCGGTTCGGGCGGCTCGGGTCGGTTAGGGCTGGCGGCTCGGGTCGGGCGGCTCGGTTTCGTTAGGGCTGGGCGGCTCTGGTCGGCTCGGGGCCGCTAAGGGAGAGCGCGGGGAGCTGGTGGGGCCGTGAGGGACGAGCGCGGGGCCGACGTGGGTGCTAAGGGCGAGCGCGGGGCCTATCGGGGCCGTGAGGGACGAGCGCGGGGCCGATCGGGGCCGTAAGGGACGAGCGCGGGGCCGACGTGGGCCTCTAAGGGCGAGCGCGGGGCCTATCGGGGCCGTGAGGGACGAGCGCGGGGCCGATCGGGGCCGGAAGGGACGAGCGCGGGGCCAGCGCGGGCCTCTAGGGGTAAGCGTGGGGCCGATTCGGGGCCGTTAAGGACGAGCGCGGGGCCGACGCGGGCCTCTAGGGGTAAGCGCGGGGCCGATTCGGGGCCTTTAAAAGCGAGCGCGGGGCCGACTGAGGCCTCTAGGTGCGAGAGCGTGGGGCCGACGGGGCCTCTAGGGGCGTGAAAGCCGAGGCGCCCTAGGGCAGGTAGGTAGTGGTGGGCCCTAAAAAAAAAATCGGTCCTAGGAAGGACCTGCTCTATACCATGTTGAACAAGAATGAATGAACTAGGAGTGAAATGAGTACAAGTATGAAAAACTAGGAATGTGTACCCCCTATAGGCTAACCCACTGTAGCCTAAACAACTACAACAACATATATAATGTTTGACAGATAAAACCCAGAAATTACTGCACCGTCAATATTATTGGCCTGACTCCTCTAACGACGTGCAGCGATATGTGTCCTCATGCAGGGTGTGCCAAGCTATGAAATCGACACGTCAACGACCAGCTGGGCTGCTGCAACCCCTCGAGCCACCCGAACGACCGTGGCAGCAAGTGACGATGGATTTCGTTACGGGGATGCCAGCTGGGTCGTCCGGCAACGACGCTGTTCTCGTCGTCGTCGATCGCTTCACGAAAATGGCGCACTTCGCACCATGCCGAACGACAATAACAGCCGAAGAAACTGCGCGACTCTTCATTTCCACGGTTGTGCGACTGCACGGCATCCCCTCGGCGATAATCAGCGACCGAGACCCGCGATTCACATCCAAGTTCTGGAAGGAAACGTGGGCGAAGTACGGCACGAAGCTACAGTTCTCAACGGCATATCACCCACAGACGGACGATCAAACAGAGCGGACCAATCAGACCATGGAGCAGCTGATCAGAACAAACTGCCCCGACCCGGCCCGCTAGGAAGATTCTCTCGCGATGTTGGAGTTTGCTTTCAACAACGCACCATCCAGCACGACTAATCACTCCCCGTTTTTCCTGAATTACGGGATGGACCCGACGGTTCCCACCGCGTCTGCTCTCGACAATCCGGTCCCACGGTCACAAACTTTTGTGACGGAACTCCAGGAAACCCGAGAAAAGGCCGCCGACGCAATTCGCAAGGCGAATATCACCTCCTGCAAATACGCAGATTTTCTACGCCGGGAACTCGTCTTGACCACTGGGCAATTAGTGCTACTTGACACGAAGAACCTGCACCTGCCCGGCCCGTCGAAACTACGGCCACGATTTTGCGGGCCGTTCAAGATTATCAAGATGGTGACACCTGTCATCGCGAAGCTGTTGCTACCCGACGACTGGCGAATTCATGACGCCTTCCACGTCAGCCTTCTTCGCAAGTTCGTGCCAGCGACGACAAACATCGCACGTCAACAAGCTGTCCCAACAGCACGACCTGTTCCGGAGCCGACACTTGACCCTTCGAAAATCCTGGCTCATCGGGTTCGCCTTGACGCAGCTGGCCGACACGTGGATTTCTTGATCCGCTGGACTGATCGCACCATTAAGGACGACACTTGGGTGCCTTCCGCCTCGCTCGACGCCTCGCCACTTGTTGGTGATTACTTGGCGCGCAAGCGTGTTGCAGACATTGACCGCCTTTCTTAGAAGGGGGGGTTAGTGTAAGGAATTTTCCTGAATTCCTTATCGGGGTTGACTGCTTCGCGTACAACCCGATTTTCGGAGTTCGCACGTTCGGCCGATTTCAACGCTGCCGAGGCTCCTCACGTCGCCTTCGGCATGTCCATCGCACTATCTGAAAGCTGGGGTTCAAAATCCTTAGGACCCAAGACTGTGAGGCGCACTATACAGCCCCTAAACCCTGCTGACAAATGTATACTGGAGCTTTAATGGATGCATGGAATCTACATGCCTCAGGTACAGAAACCCAAAATAGAAAACGAAATTCACATCTGCAGGTAGCCAAATGTGATATAATAAATATTCACGCCAGTGTGTCATTTGCCTGCCCTGGAGTGTTTCACCATTAATGGCAAAACGGACGCAGATGCACACCTAATCTAATCATGCTACCCAAATCTGTCTAGCGCAGGCCTTCGAAAAGGCTGGGCCTGCACACGCTCACACAGCTGCCAGCTAAGGCACCCTGCGTTGGGGTGGGTGGCTGGCTGTCCAGCTCATTCAGCAGGTCCCCAGACCTGCCTGCCTTGGCCAAGTCATAGGCAGTGTTGCCACTCATATCCTCGAGATGGGGGTCAGCACCATGAGCCTTGAGGAGCTGCATGAGTTTGGGAATTGAAAGAAAGTACAAGGAAAAAACACACAAGATTTAGGACTCTGAACGGTGGGAACACAGTGGGATGAACACTTGAAGTTGTGCCACCAATTAGACTTGACACAGTGGCTCACTGCACATCTGCGACCAAGAGCCCTACCTTGGCAACAGCAATGCTGCGGTTGGCGCAGGCAACATGCAGGGCAGTGCAGCCAGCATGGTCCTGCGCATTCACGTCTGCTCCTGCCGCCAGCAGCCGCTTCAGATACTCCACACTGCTGCCGCCCCTCTTGCCCGTGGCTTTCGGTGGGGAGCCACCACCAGCATTAGCACTGGTGGTGGTGGTGTTGGTGGTGGTGGCTTCTGAAGCTGCGGATGCGGCGAGGCGGCAGAGGGTAGCCCCAGGGTCCTTAAGGAGGAGTGCTGCGCCTGCTGCCTGCAGTGCCTCTGCTGCCTTGGTGTGGCCGTTCTTCACTGCCTCCAGGAGAGGGGTGGAACCGCCGCGATCTGCACAAGGGAGAGGACAGATAAAAATAAGGATTTAGGTCCCACAGACTGCAGGATACAAGGGGACTGATGCAATCTGACCAGGCGAAAGAATTATGGGGACGATTATGGAGGCATAACAGGGGATTGAAATGTATGGCTACGATATATTCAAGTGGCGGAGCCTGCACGTAGGGCGGCTGGAATATGTACTTGGTGGGAGCACTCACCAAGAGCATCCGTGGGAAACATGGTGAACAATGGAGCACTCACCAAGAGCATTTACGTCGACACCATTGCACTTCAGAATGGCGTTGATGCAGCTGACATGGCCGTGGGCGGCCGCCACATGCTGCACTTACAAGAGGCAAAAAGCACAGGAATTGATCAGGTTGGCGATTTAGACAGAGAAACACACTAAATACACGCTTGGTTAAACATCACACATGCCAGAGATGAATCTTCAAGTGCAAACCTGGGCACAAGTTAATACGCTGGGAGCAGCACATAACAATCAGAGATTTAGAGGGAGTGAATACCAGGGGGGTGCGACCGTTGTAGTCGTGGCAGTGGGCGAGGGAGGGCGTGGTTGTGAACAGGTCAACCAGCTGGTCTGCTCGGCCAGAGGCAGCAGCGCCGCACACCCTGTGAAGCAAGGAGAGGCAGGCCAGCAGGGAAAGGGGCAAGGGGGAGGCGAGAAGGGATGGGAGGGTGGGCGGGAGGGTGTGCAATAGAGGAGAGAAGGATAGAAAGCATGAGCACGAGAAACAAACTAGTATGAACAGTAAAATCAGGCAATTAACCAACACGGTAAAATGCAGCAGCGGAACACAAACAATAAGGGGCATGCACAACCAGTAATACAAAAAATAAAAAAAACTTCAACCAGTAACGTCAGCTCAACCACGCACGCACCTGGCAACCTGGTCACCGTCCCCACTGTCCACAGCAACAGACTCCAGCAGCCCCTTGCCCTGCACGGGCTCCTCTGGGGTAGAGCCGATGGCCTTCCACGAGGGCTGTGAGCGGGCCAGGCCCCGGGAGACCGCAAGCTCAGAGGGCGTGCGGATGAGCGACTCTGGCCCGTCGATGTTCTGAAGGGGGGGAATGCGGACGAAGGACGAGACTCAGACCAAAATACCAGACAGGTCTTGTGAGACAGCTTGGGATACATGCTGAGGTCCAGACTCTGAATGGATGCAGATTAAGCACACTCAGAGCGATCTGAATGTTCACCTGCTTGAGGGCAGTGAAGAGGATGGTGGAGTCTGCCGGGTAGGCTCTGGCGATGGTGGTGAAGGCTGTCTTGGAGAGGCGCAGCAGCTGGCTGTGCTCCAGCGCTCGCACTGTGAAGAGCTGCGGCACGTCACACATCACTGCTGTCTTGCCAAACACCGACCCCGCCGTCAGGAAGGAGGAGAACTGCAGGGAGGGCAGGGCAAGAAACAGGCGCGGCAGAACGGATTCGAATCATAAGGTTTTGGAAAAAAGCACCACAGATGACAGAGCAGTCATGAGTTGAAAATCCGAAAAAACCGAGGCAGGGAACATGCACAGGTTAAACGGGAGAGGACGAGTGGGAAAAGAACTGAGGGGAAAAAAAGGCACGAGGAGACTCACTCCACTCTGGAGGGCTGCTGCAGGTCCATCCTCGCGAACGAGTTTGCCTGAGAGCACAATGTAGAGATGCGCAGCCACGTCCCCCTCTGATGTCACGATGTCGTTGCGCATGACCGTTTCGACGTCCATCTCTGACACCTGGCGCACATCAGTGGAGGAACAAGGGTGACACAAACTACGTAAGGAAACAGAGCGAGCCTGTTTCGGCGTCAATGTCTGGCGCCAGACGCAGTTCACATATGTGGCGGAAACCAGGTGAGAAACAGATACCATCAGAACAAGCAGCGGGACTAAACAACAATGGCAAAGGAACAACCAAAGGCGAAGGAACCCACCAGTTGCTTGAGGAAGGCCTTGGAGCAGAGGCGGAAGCCGTCGAGGTTTTCGACGATGGGGAGGTAGAGCTGGCGGGAGACGGTGACTCGCAGGTGGTGGGGAATGCTGGAGAGGAAGGAGGAGGCGTCGGACTTGTGCATCTGCAGCTGCACGCGCAGCTGCTGCTTCAGCTGCCGCTCCACCTCCGCCGGCAGGTTGGTGCGCGCCACGTACGCCTTGAGCGCCGCCATGTCCTCGTGCTGTGAGAAAGCGTTCACAGGAATAAATACAGAAGCAATAACAACAAAAATACACACAACCATGTCGACGAGAGTGGTGGTGGCCACGATGAAATGAGTAAAACCCACTTAGAAAGCGTAGAAAGAACGAAGAGGAAAATGACGAGAAAATTTGAGGGAAGGCCACGAACGAGAATGGGAGGTCAGGGGAAAGACTGTGGCGTACGTATTGCATGGTCTTGCTGGATTGCTTGACCATGAGGAGCGTCAGTGTGCCAAGGGTGTAGGCCAGCTGCACGCACAAGCAGCACAAGCAAAAAATATTCAAAGAAACATGAAACACGATACCAAGGGCCGTTTACTCAATACATCAAACAATACAGGTTCAGAAAAGGCATGGGAGCAGATCACTATGAATGTGACAGGTTTGATGATGCTACAGAATGGCCATGGTAGAGAAATGTGAACCCACAGTTGCCATGCCGAAGAGAGCGTAGAAGCAGCTGAAGATCTGCTCGGCTGTGGTGACGGAAGTGTAGGCGGGGCCGATGCTGGTGATGACGAAGATGGACCACCACAGCGCCGCCACGTATTGCAGAAACACCGACTGCTCAGATCGGCGAAGAGGGGACGATTACAACAGAGATTGACAAAACTGAACACCACCTATCCACCACTTCGCGCACGGAAATGGGAGGGACAAGATGGGGTTGGCGGAATAATCGGTTGTGAATCAGCACCACATGGCCGCCACTCATTGCATCAGCGATAGATAGAAGCGGGAGAGCAAAGAAGCTCCACTGTCCCATTGACAATGTCGACGTCAGACAGAAACCAACGTATCAGGCCGCTCAGCTATGACCGCAAGAGGATCAGTCACTGTGTGACAAGGCAAGTACCTGGTCGGGCCAGTCCGGGCCGATGCCTTGGCCGATCCAGGTGTTTTCGGGGTCGGGCTCCATGAGGGTGAGGAAGAAGTAGGCCACGGCGAAGAGGTGCGACGCCAGAACGATGTTCTGCGAGCGGTCAAGGAAACCGAGAAATTTCACGGTGAGGGTAAAACACCAGTCAAGTTGCCGGGACGATACTTTGCGAATGACGCCAGTGGTGAGAAGCGAGGAAGGGGAAGAGGAAGAGGAACGATGTGACAGGAGATGGCAGAGCGAAGCGAGTACAAGAGAGCAGCGGCGCCTGACGCGAAAGACTTTAACTTCCAGGCCACCTACCAGCACGAGCTTGAAAACGCGAATGCTAAAATACAGCGCCTGGTTCGCCGTTCCGAGCCTGCAACCCCAAACAGGAAAAAGGTCAGAAAAATACACATTGAAAAAAATAAATGACGTCGATGATTTCGAAGACGCCATTGCAGAATGATATGCTACACACCGTGACCACGGAACGGACCACAAAAAAGCCATCCCATACTGTAGCATGCTCACTGAACAACGAGAGCTGCCCGTTCGGCGGATACTCACGCAGAAAGAGCATGGTAGAAGTGCACGATACGGTACAGGCGCAGGCAAGGAAGCCCACGAAAGACGTAGCCAAGGGCTCCGGAAGCCGGGGACCCATTGGCCCAGTAATAAATCATGTTGAGCGGAATGGATGACACAAAGTCGAATAGCAGACCCCCTTTTGCGTATCTGCGGAAAAAGAAAATCCAGTTTCTTTGTTCATTCAAGAACTACGAAACCGACGAAGACGCTAATAACTGAGAAGTGACGGGAGCAATGACGGTCTTGTTCTGGAGCAAACACATCGTCGCCAGTAGTTACGCCAGTATTGAGCGAAGACAAGAGAAGAACGATGGTTAGTCGAACATACCGCATAGCGATTGCGCTCCTCGACGTGACGAGCCGAAGAGACCGGCTGCATCGAAAGGCCAGCTTGAAGGTGATGGCGATGTTGGCGAGAAATACGAGAGACACGGCGCTGTCGAAGTACAGAATTGCCGGGGACGGATTCGGGACGAAGGCGAACTCGAGGGTCACCCAGAACGATGACCACATCACGAGTGTGTGAATGAGCCTGCAGAGAGGGACACGATACGAGCATAAAGCAGAAGGCAATCAAAGGCTGACACGAGACAAACCACCGAAACAGGCAGCGAAGTATGTCACAAGCAACGAAGCCAATGTTGCCATAGTCATCATAGAGGCTCAAGACAAGCGGTCAGGAGGTTTCTTTGAGACGCCGAAATGGCAACAAGAAGTGTGAGTTAACTTGACATGAGAGTACACGCTGCAACACGAGAACATCGAGTGGAATGAACAAAAGAAAATCTAGAATAATATCCACCTACACGCTCCAGGCCTTGAAACGAGGGCCCTCCGGGTGAAGGAGGCCGAGTGCGTCGCAAGTATTCTTCTCCGCAGTGATCTGATCCGCGGCCTTCAGGTCTGACGTGCAGGCACGCAGGCGTGAAGTTTGCTCGTCGCTTGTCTTTCTGCTGCTGAGAGCCATTGTCATAGAACCGAACTTAAAGATCCTTGGCTAGTTTACAAATACGCCTTTCCCTCCTTATATCCCCGAAGAAGGATTATGTCCTTCTCCAAAGCTTGCTGATGGCTAAGGTCCCCGATAATCTACAACCTTCACAAATAGTAGTTCCCCGATGGCGATAGACTGAAGACTAGTGGAAGGTCTGGATAGGCGATGCACCTGCAATAGGACAGAAGGTCTAGCATAAGACGCATTCCTAAGAGCAGTAGTGAGCTTGAATTACAATAAAAGACTGACTAACTCACACGTGCTCAAATTAAGGAGTCGTGCGAACGACAATAAGGATTGTCATTTTACGCCGCTCTAACGATGGTACGAAGAACTCTATCCAGGATGAAAGGGAAAGCGTGAACGACGAATCGGTGAGGACCCTTCTGCTGCGCATTCGATTGACGTTAGCGGATCAGGCTAAGGATTAGAATATGCGAAAATCTCCAAGCGAGGTAAGGGCTTCGCATTTACAACCAGGAAGAATCGCTTAGACGGAAGGTAATGTCGGAGGACGGAAATGTGAGGTTCTCAACGAGCGAGTCAGGCTTCCGCACTAGAACGAATTGAGGGTTTCACACTTGCAAAAGAGAACCCTTATAAAAACCAAGCATTACAAAACCTCGGCGGAGAGAGAAGAGCCTACACGAGCTGTCTCTTGAGTTATCGCTCCTGCAGAACTGGCAGTTGGACTCCCTACAATGAGCAAGCAAGCAGAAAACAACGTTTCTGGACAATTATGGATGAAACCCTAACATTGGAAGCAGCAGGCCTAATGAGCTTTTGGCAACATTTTGGTGAAGTGGAGGGGAGGGGAGGGAGGTGAGGAGATGAGGATGTAGGCGAGCCAATCAAAGCTCGAGTTTTACCAATACACTTTTCAGCAGGGATGGCGAATACAGCCTGGAAGTGTACAGATGGGAGGACCAAGAGGATGCCTTCTCGTTTCACTCCCTCCCTCCCTTGCCTCCCTCCCTTCAGGAGGGCCACACACGATTTCAAGTGGGTCGGTGGTGTTGGTGGGTGTGCTGGATGCAAGAGAAGTGGTTCGTTGGTGCGCCGCGGCGGAATGTCAGATGGCGCCCGGTTTCGAGAGACTGTTTCCAGGAGTTACTGATGTTTCAGGTATCTGAGGCACCTTGGAAACTTTTCTGGTTGGTTGACCGTTGTCGCTGAAGTCTCTTCAGCCAAAGTCACATCGATGTAGCTCGATGCACCTCTCTGAAACCTACTGGAGTGAATTTGATTCTATTTAGGACCGATGTGTACCTCATAAAGTCAACCCTCATAAACAAGCCTTTCCACAAGTCCATTTGTTTGAGCCCCAAGCACCTGACCGTCAGTTCAGTTTTCCTGACGGTCCGGCTAATCCCCTGAAACGCACACACGTCAAGGTCACCCTTTCTCGAAACCAGGTGTTTCTAAAATAGTTTGCGCCGTAATTTTCGGATGGTCGTTGAGATCAACCAGTGACTGCACAGGATGACTTGCAAGTGGAATCTGCCGTGGCACCACCACGCTCTCGCCACGCATCACGAGCTGGATGCGATAACAGGATGGGAAACCTTTAGGGAAAGTACATCCCAGCTCCTTATTTTCTGATTTCTCTCGAATTTAGTCCTAAGCTTACTAAAAAGGTGCGACTTTGTGGAATTTTGCTCACGCAAGGCCCAAATTATGTTCAAAACTGGTCCTACGGTGCAAAATTTTCTACACGTGTCCACTTTCGCGTCATATATTTTTCAAAGGGGCAAAAAAACTTGAAACTCGTAGGGAACCATTACACCTTTTCTAGGGAGATCAACCCTAAACACAGGGACCCGCTTGGTGTTTAGGGTTGATCCCTCCCGAAAATGTGTCCTGTTTCCCTAAGGGGTTTTATGTTTTTTACCCCGCTGAAAAATCTTACGCGAAAATGGAGACGTGTCAAAATGTTTGCCCCGCATGACCAGTTTTGAACATACTTTGGGCCTCGCGTGAGAGAAATCCTAAAAAGTCATACTTTTTTTGTAAACCTGAGGCTAAATATGAGAGAAATCTGAAGCTGGGATGTACTTTCCCAAACCTTTATTGATAGCAGCTACAAGCAGAGGTGGAAAATTTATGAATGGCACATGAATATGTTGAAGATAGTCTTTTCAAACCAATGCCGCCATGCGACATGTAGTTTTGCTAGAGTAGCACAAGGATCTGGATCTGTATGACACTTCAAGAATAATATGTACTGTTACAATCCTAACAGTACTTAGCCAGGGATCGACTCATGGTTGTTCGCATGTAGAAATTGCAACGGAAGTGTTGACATCGGGTCAGAGTGGATGTAAGTTACTGAGATGATAATAGCAATGCATACATCGAGTACTATAGGAATACAATGAGAAAACGAATTGTCTTAGCTAGCCATGTACTTTAAGGGGTACATTCCTTTATTACAACGGATTCAAACCGTGCGGCGCGGGAACCCGTTTCAAACATGTTCTCGCCATTTTCACTTCGAATGTTTTTGCCTGCATCAGTCTCGATCTGACGGTTGCTGGTGTCGCTTATATTATTGTGACTCCTCGACTTCGTGCTCGGTGCTGCGATCAGATGTTGATCGAACTCGGGATCACCTCAGGAAGGTTCGCACAAGACTTTAACGAGTGGTGGTTGTCAGAACATTATAGCTTACTCATTTATGTAGGCTATAGTGGGGTATACCATAGGGGGTACAACCCAGTTAGGGTTTCCTATTTGTACTCACTTCGTTCATAGTTCACTCATTTTCTCTCGTTCACTTCTTCTCATGGAATCAGAGCAGGTTCCCCTGTGGGAACTGTGCTTCGGGCCCACCACCTAGAACCTTTTTTTTTCTGCCCTGGCGCCCGCCCTAGCGCCCGCCCTTTCGAGCCGCCCGTTAGCGCCGCCCGTTCGCGCCGCCCGTTAGCGCCGCCCGTGCGGCTGCCCGTTCGCGCCGCCCTTTGCGCAGCCAGTAGCGCCGCCCGTGCGGCCGCCCGTTAGCGCCGCCCGTGCGGCCGCCCGTAGCGCCGCCCGTGAGCCGCCGCTCGTAGCGCCGCCCGTGAGCCGCCGCCCGTCGCGCCACCCCTTAGCACCGCCCGTGCGCCGCCGCCCGTGAGCGCCGCCCGTGACGCAGCCGCCCGTGAACCGCCGCCCGTGACGCCGCCGCCCGTGACGCCGCCGCCTGTCACGTCGCCCACCCCTCCGTGACGCCGCCGCCCGTCCCGCCGCCCGCCCGTCACGCCGCCCGCCCGTGAGCCGGCGCTGCCCGCGAACCGCCCACCCGTGGGCCTTCAGCCCGCCCGTGAGCTGCCGACGCCGCCCGTGAGCAGCCGACACCGCTGACGCCGCCCGTGAGCCGCCGACGCCGCCGACGCCGCCGACGCCATCCGTTAGCCGCCGACGCCGCCGACGCCGCCCGTGAGCCGCCGACGCCGCTGCCGCTGCCGTCGCCCGTGAGCCGCCGACGCCGCCGCAGCCGCCCGTGAGCCGCCCTGGCCGCCCGCCCAGCCGCCCGTGAGCTCCCCGCGCGCCGTCCCAGCCGCCCGTGAGCCGCCACCGAGCCGCCCCAGCCGCCCGTGCCGCCGCCCGAGCCGCCTGAGCCGCCCGAGCCGCCCCGGCCGCCCGCGCCGCCCTAACCACCCGAGCCGCCCGAGCCGCCCGAGTCGCCCGAGCCGACCGAGCCGCCCGCACCGCCCGAGCCGCCCGAGCCGCCTGAGCCGCCCGAGCTGCCCGAGCCGCCAGAGGAGCTGCACTCCTGCTCCTGTCGGGCTACTGCTGCTCCTGGGCTGTGTACCTGCGCCGCTGACCTACCCGACTCTTCCTGCCCGGTGAGACTGTCAGCTGCTGTCATGGCCACCCCCAATGTCCTAGCTTTTGACGCTGAGGGTAGAGCCATTGACTTTGCAGTCTGGATTGAGGACCTGCAGCTGTACTTACTGTGTGATGCGGTCGATGAGGTCTCTCTCTTTGACTTTGTCTCTGGCGCTGTCCCTGCCCCTCCTCCTGATGCTGATTCCGCCGTTCGCTCCAAGTGGGCGACCCGCGATGCTGCTGCACGTCTTGCTGTGCGTCGCCACCTCCCTTCCTCCGAGCGTGCCCACTTTAGTTAGTGCAAGACCGCTCAGGCCTTGTACGACGCTGTAGTTGCACGCTACTCCTCCCCTTCCTCCGCTACGCTGAGCCGCCTCATGCTACCTTTTCTCTTCCCTGACCTCGCTGCCTTTCCCACTGTCGCTGACCTCATTACCCACCTCCGCGCTAGTGAAGCTCGCTACCGCGCTGCCCTTCCTGCTGAGTTCCGCGCCGCCAACCCTCCTCCCATGTACATCACTCTCTACTTTCTTGTCACCCGTCTCCCTGAGTCCCTTCGTGTCGTTAGGGACCAGTTTCTCTCTGTCTGTCCCACCACCCTCACTGTCGACCTCCTTGAGGAGTCCCTGCTAGCGGCTGAGAAGAGCATAGTCGCTGTAGGGGCCTCTCGGGGTGACCCTCGCACCCCTATCTTTGAGGGGTGTTCTCCTTCCCCCCAGCTGCCCTCTGTCGCCTCTGCCGCTGCGGCCGACCTCGCTGGTTTTGAGTCGGTCGGTGCGGCGTCTGCCCCCAGCGGTAGACGCCGCTCTGGCAAGGGCAAGGGGGGCAAGGGAGCGGGTGGAGCTAGAGGAGGCAGTGGCGGAGGAGGTGGGGGTGGCGGGGGGAATGGGGGTGGCGGTGGAGGTGGTGGCGGGAGTGGAGGTACTGGTGGAGGCAGTAGAGGCGGAGGTGGCGGCGGAGGCGGTAGCGGAGGAGGCGGGGGCGAGGGTACCAGTGGGGGCGGTGGCGGTGGAGACGGGGGCAGTGGTGGAGGCGGGAGTGGCGGTGGCGGCGGGGGTCGGAGTGGCTCGTCCCAGCGGAGCAGCTCTGGGGGTGGTCAGCGCCAGCAGCAGCAGCAGCAGCAGCAGCAGCGCTCTCGCACCGTCCCCGCCCCTCAGCAGCTC